TTACTCTTCCCAAAACTTGCAAGCATTAAACTAAAACAGGACAATAGTGGCACAAGCTCATATATGCCTGTGTCCCTCCACCATTCTTCCTAATGAAGTTGACAGCCAACTCTTCTTAAACATTTTCTAGGTTAAGGTTAGGAGCCAGTAATCATGAAAAAAAATATTTCATTGAATGAGAAATATATGTAGTATTTTTTAAGAATGTTAAGCATTTTTTGTTAATATGGGGTATTCCAGCTCTTTATTCCAAAATGCTCGCAAATAACTAATATTTATCTTAACAATACTCTTGAACATTTGTAAAAAATATTTTAGATTTGGGATTGTCCAAATGACATTTCAATACTGATTTTTTTATTAATATATTACTCTGAATTTTTAGATGAAGATAAAGGGTGTCCTTGACAAAACGTTGTGATAGGTGAAGAAATAATTCCTTTTATAATATTCTAGCTGAGAAATTAAAATGCCCCATTGTAATTCAATTAAGAAAGAAAGAAATCCATATTAGACAAAAACGTGCATCGTATCAAAGGACTTCTCCACATGTAATAGTGCAAGTGTAGATGGCACTTGTACTATTTCTGAGCGTATTTCTAAAATATTAATTATCAATCTAATATTATCTGAGGCTTGTCACCCTTTTAGAAAACCATCTTGAGCAGGATGGATAATCAAAGGAAATGCTGTCTGTACTTTACATACTACTGACTGTCAAATCTTTGGCATCAATAATTAATAAGAAAATTGAGTAATAGTTTCATAATCAGCAGAATCTTTACCAGCCTTCCAAATCACTGTTATATAAGAAGGCTGGGAATTATCAGTTCAGAAAACCCTCATCGTAAGTATCCAACAATATAGGAGTGAAAAATAGCCTTATTCCAATATCAGGACTGAGGGGTTTTCCTGTTTTCATACATTTAATAATAATACATTGCTTCTTCAAGAGATAAATAGTTTGATTGTGCTGAATCCTCAGAAGAACTATATTATTTTTTTTTAAATTCTTCCTATAAACTTTAATTCTGTATTATAAAGTTAAATGTAAAAATACTGATTTGTCGAATCATATGCTCCACCTGAGCATTTTTAATAGCTGTTTCTTTGTTGCTGTTTCATTTGATAGACCAGTGATTTACCACGCCTTTCTCCTGGTTCCCAATATCTTTCTTTTTGCATGAATATTTTATATAAAGTGCATAAAGCCAAAAAAAAGTTCTAGTTTAGCAGACCTGAAAAGCTTTATGTAAGTTTGGTATAGATTATCTTGCATATGTACTCAAATGTTCATTATTTTCCAAATGTTATTTGGAAAATATGTCCAAATGTGTGTATTATTAAAAAAGAAATCTTCAAAATCTTTTTTTTTCTGTTTTATAAAAACAGGGATCCTTTATTAATGATGTCTTTAAGTATCATCTTGAAACACTGGGATGACTTTTTTTATAATAATTGATAGCATGATTGAACATCAAAATAGAACCAATATTACATTTATCTATTCCGTCGACTAAGAATCAAGATACAAAAAAAAAAAAATTATAAGTTGGGAACAAGTCTGATGTGGGTCTGAAAAAAAGATATATCCTTGCTGTGAAGAATTTAAAAGTCACCACATAGCCACCAGTTAGAGTCCCGCGTATAAGCTTATAGCACTTTCAGTAGACAGGAGTTAAATTTAGCTAAATACTAAATATTTAAATACTGCAATATAACAAAGAATCTGATCCTTACTTAAATAAGAGGATATTCAAGCCATCTACATAAAACCTCTGAATGGTCCTTAGAAGAGCCATACTGTAGTAATTAATCAATGCAATACAATTATTAAAACATTTCATATCCCTTTTTTTAAAAAAAAACATCTTCTAGATCACTTATTTCTTGTTCCACTAGAAATGTCAAAGATTTGTTAATCAAACTTACTACAACCTTAGCAGATTTGAATTCTCATTACTTCCTATTTGACCAACACATCCTCTAGATAAAAGATCTTTCTTATCTGAATGGATGCAAGTTTCATGTAAAAAAATAAGTGTCAGGTTTTAAAGTGCCTAATTAAGTGTCTGTCACCTCTTAGCTGAATATCTAAGGCCTTTTACATTCAACAACTAAAAATGACATAAATGAAAAAACTGCACCTAGAAAAACCAATATTCTGTATGGTTTAAGCTTAAAAAAAATTAACCATCACAAACTATTAAAAGAACTAAAAGGAAAAAAAAAACATGAAAAACCACAAGTAGTAGAAAAGAAAATATTGAATAAGAAAATTTAAAATAATAAAAGAGTTCAGAAACAAAAGAGAAATACAAGCTTTAAAAAACCAATGAATACTGAAAATGTAGGACAAGAACTTGTCCCTTCAGTCTCCAGCCATAGTAGCCCATCTCCATGGCATTTACAGGGGGATCAAAACAGGATGATGATCAAAGCATTTTGATCAAAGCCTTGCCCCTTTTCTATTGTGTTGATGCATGTACAAAATAGACAGGACTTTGATCATGCCATCTTCCCCGATTTGACCTCCTCCCAGCAGATACCACTGTCCAGCTGTCTAAAAAAGTATTTTTTTTAAATGATCCCTGATGAATAAACTACAGCCTCTGGGTTCAATAACTTCTTTACCCCAGACTCCAGTGATCTTGATCAGCATTGTAAATAATGTTTACATATCATGAATTATTTCTCTGGAACAGACCCTGTACATAAACGGATCATCTCATCGTGACCATCCAGAGTTAATTTCAAGACCTTTTCAGCATCTGTTTATCAGAATTCTGAAGCTGGTTGTTGCTGTTTTTTCTTTTTTTAATGTCACTCAATATTAATGCTCTTAACTGCACCATTTTCCAATCTAAACTATCATGTCTCTTCATCTCCAAAAAATGGTTTCATCTCATCCACTATGTTTTTTTTTAACCTGCATGAATTCAGTCTTTCTAAAAGACTGTAAATCATAAAAAAGAGCTTTTACTGAGATGAGCACGTTCTCAAAGCTCTTTTATTGCATTACATTCTCTGCTACATTCTGTTCTACAGTATTTTGTGTATTATTTAAAAAAAAACTGTATTGCAGACAGTTCCAGGTTACACAGTATCACTGGAAATTTAAGTTTAATCTTTATTCTAGATCACACAATTCTGTCAACAGTGTATCTTTTTATTCCTTATTTTATTCTCCAGTGCAACTGGTTTATGTAGCTACAGATAAACATAAATTTGTCCCTTGTCATATTATTATGTGTCAGTGGATAGTGAATCATATGCTTTCAATGGTATCTTTTTGTAGCACTGTATTCTCTGTAACAGAAGCAGAATCCTAACAGTTCAAACATTATGAAGAGGTTGAGATATCTCATTGGATGGGAAAGTGTATATGTCCTTATATACACTATAGGAGACAGGAATATTTAGTTTTTAAAATGTGTAGCGTAAGTATATGCAATATGACAGTTTATTATGGGCACATAACCATTAGTAACATACATCTGATCAATAGTCCATGAACCTGCAGTGTAAAAGCACCCAATTTGCTGGGGACTACATTTCTGTTGGGAGATAGTAATATATAAGTGGTCTTAAGACTGGTAGAAGCCTGTAAGAGTTAATAATAAATGGTGTTTATGCAGACTTACACAGATCATTCTGGAGAAAACTCTATGTGGTTTCTAAGAGTCAACACTGATTTGATGGGAGATGATAGATAGATAGATAGATAGATAGATAGATAGATAGATAGATAGATAGATAGATATTCAGCAAAGTTTCTTAATATGCTTTGATTGTTCAGAGGCTTAGTCAAGTAGTATATTTCAGAAAGACACGGTCAAATCAGTATATAATGTCCCTCCATGCTCTACCCCAGGTTTCTTAATAACCTTCTTAAATAAGTGGCCCTTTCTCTTTACTGTTCCCCATTGTCATCTTTGGCTTGTGGTTAGCTATAGCTGCTTATGAATATTTTAAACTATTCTGCTGTCTCATTCCACTATTATGGAGAAAGAGGGAGAAATTTACCAAACTGTAATTGTTTTGTTTTATCAGGCAGGGTAAGAGAGAGAGAGATGAATGCACACTCTTTTTTTTAATGCATCTTCCCTTTCACAACCCTCAAAATAAACTGGGTATCCTTTTGTCCATAAAGGGATGGTATGAGTATTAAATAACCTCAACCATGCATTACAATAGTAACTAATCCACAGGGCTGTTGCTAATGCTATGTGCTCTCAGAGTTTTGGGAGAGCAGAGGGTAAAAAACCATACCTGTTAGAGAACCCACGGACAAGCAGAAGATGTGTGAACTGTAGGCAGGCCCGTAAAATAATAGCCCCAAAGGGAACTACCAGTGTTTTTCCTTAATCAGCTCCCTTTTCTTTCTTATAAAGCTTTTTCACAGCCATATCCATTACTAATTTGCACGACTAGATTTACACAAACAATACCCAGCCTTCTTTTTCTGACTGCAGATGCTTTTATCCCATAAACATTTAATGGGCAAGTACAGCTTTCTTGACATGGTGAATAACATCATACTACATGATGAGGGTAGTCTCAGGGCCTCTAGGTTGAATTCTTGGCCAATCGACTTAAGTTGTATGAAAATGACACTTGCATATAATTTACTGTCCCCATTTTCAGTCACTGTCCTGCCTCTGATGCCTATATTTCCAGTCACTGCACTCACCTGACATCCCTCCAAGGCAGAGGGTGACAAAGCAAAATAGACTGTATTTATCTTGAGGCTGTCCTTGGATTGTGTCACAACAAGTGGGGGAAATTTAACAGTATTACATTTAAGAAAAACTTAAGCCATTCTCACTCATGGGCTGAAGATGAGATGAAAGCTATGTCATGGGGACATGACTGAAAAAAATATATCTGTGCTATGATGTAGAAAGATCTAGAGTTGGTTCAGTACAATTCTGTGCTGTCCCTAATTTTTAATTTGTCTTTTCTGTTTTTTCTTCCTTTCTCATCACATGTTTGTTCAGGCTTGCCAAAAAATCCTGGTTTGGTAATTTTATCAACCTAGAGAAAGAAGAACAGATCTTCGTGGTTATTAAGGACAAACCACTGAGTTCTATCAAGGCTGATATAGTACATGCGTTTCTCTCGGTAAGTATATAAAGTTAAAAGCAAACATCCCATTCGTTTGGATGAATAAACATCCAAAACAAGATGTGGTCTGTCAGCCTCAAATGACAAACTTTTCCACAATAAAGGTAAAGTCTTCATCAAGTCTAGTTTGTCGGTTGTAGACACATCTGTGTACTTTTGTTGGCAACAATCTGGAAATGGTTTGTCATTGCCTTATTCTGGGATGATGATGATGATGATGATGATGATGATGATGATGATGAAGATTTCCCAGTCCAGGCTATAGTCTTGGATGTCTGCACCCTGACTGCTTTATTTCTGAACCCAAAGAAGGACACCAGGCAGTGCCACATGGAATTTAAAAAGTGGCTCAGTGTGGCACATAATAAAACATTCTGTTCCTTGGAAAGTCTAGCATGAGAATCCTGCAAACACTGTCATTTCAGTGAACAAAGTTCCTGCTTTTATCTGCAACTGTGGTTTTAATTGTGTAGTTACTTTCCTGGCCACCCTTTTTAAACAGTGCTGCTTATTTGACTTCTTTGCTTTTAATTAGTTCCTTCTTATTTGTTTGTATATCCACAATATTTTGTAATTGCGTAGTTTCTATTTTCTCATGAGGAGAATTAATTACATATTTCTTTCTTACAGCTATTCTTCTTTCTCTTTTCTTTTCTTTTTTCTTTTCTTTTCTTTCCTCCTCATTCTCCTCCTCCTCCTCCTTCTTCTTTTTGACTACATATATTCAAAATAAATTTTGTGATCAAATTTGTTCAATTATAATAATTCAAATGATCATTTGCTCTGAATGAAAATAAGAAACCAGTAATTATTACCATTCCATAAGGAACAAAAATTGGCTAATTAAGAGCTGGCTCAGGAATGCTGTATTCATACTAGGGAACAGAAAGCAACACATTAAAGGGCCAGAAATGGAGGAAACAAGACATTTTAAAACAAAGGATCAAGGTGGGGGGAAAAGTCAACTGGGAAGCCTCAACAGCACTTTGCCAATCATATTGGGCAGTATAGTTAAACTGTATATAAATGAAAAAGGATGGGAAAGCAGCTTGAACGTTGCCTGAAAGTTGGATGGTAAAAGTAGGTCCCAGGTGATCCAGTTTCAAATACCAGTTCCATCTGTGAAGTTTACTGGCCAATTTTGCATACAGTGACTGTCTATATCTTGTAGCGATAGTATGGGAGTAAAACAGGGGAAAGCAAACTATGAATGCTGCCTAGAACTCCTTGGGAAAAGGTGGGATGCTAAGGTAATAAACACTAGAACTATTGAGGGAACTGTCATCTAGATTGGGGGCATAATGTTAGTCAGGGGCACACCAGGCTTTACATAGTATATCAAGGGCTGAAATAACTTTTTAAAATTTTATTTTATCATTTTATTGTATTTACATTTATTTTCCTTGCCTTTTTATACTAGCAACCTTTCAAAAAAAAAAAAACCTGCAGGGTGGTTTTTTTGGGGGGGGGTGTTATTCGAAGGTGCTGTGACACTGAAAGTGTATCATAGCTTAATCTGCTGATGAGAAAAATGCTTCAGAGTGTTCCAAATCAAGCTAGAACTGATGGGGACAGAGAAGCAAAACTGAGGAAAAATGCTTTGAGGTGAATGGGAGGAAACAGAGATAATGAGCAGATAGAGAGGACGAGAGGAATCAGAAGGAAGCAGCAGAAAACAGCAACAACAACAAAAACAGAGACTGGAGGTTGTTGGAAAGTAGCATAGGCAGCTCACTGGCTGAACATTTTGCATTTCTGATCTAAATCTTGGATGGTGTGGCCCTTCAGAAATTGTTGTAATATAAATCCCAACAACTTCAGCTAGTATAACTAAAGATGAGGGATGCTGGGATATTAGTTCAACAATATCTGGTGAGCAATATCTTTTTCAATATTTTGTTGGTTACTGGTTCCCAATCTATCATCTAGATTTTCTGTAAATTCTGAATCTATAGATTACTTGGTTCCAGACTTCTCCTGGCTGCAGAAGCATCTTTGCACAGAATTCCATGCTAGCCATTTAGGACAGAATAGACATTCTGTTTGTGCCAAATTTAATTTTATACAAACAGAAGAGTTCTACTCTCCTCAGGACTTTAACATAACAAAGGATTCTACTAGTGTGAGTGGGCCAGGGAGATATCTTGAAATCTCTTTGGGGCTTCAGGTGAGGAGGAATTACCCAAGGTTTTCTGACATTGGTGGGATGCAATAGAATCTACCGATTTGGGGCTGTGTTACCTGCAGTCCAGACAGAACACCAGGCCATCATTGTGGCCAAGGTGGAAGAAGCAGTTAAAATCTGGAAATGGGGTTTCGTAAGCCAGATTTATTTCCTGCTAGTTTACACACAGAGACAAGCAGTCTACCAGTTTTGGTAGTCTGGTGACTGAGTAACCTGAATTAGCTGGTGTACAGAGAGTAAGAGAGGTCTGACCTTTAAAAATTAGTGTACTCAGTCAACCCCCTCTTTTTCAATGGGTAAGCCTCAACTCCAAATCCAGTCCGTAATTTTTCACCTGTGCCTAAAATCCTCCAAAAACTCTAGAAAGCTTTTCAAATGGAAAATGATGTGTGATTTCTGTCAAGTCCTAGAGGAAGGAAAACATTTTTTTTTAATATAGATGATCTGTATAGCTTGCATAGGTTTTTTTTTTCCAATATAAGATGTCAAAATAGGTGGCAGACCTATCCAATTCTAAACAACAAAAAAGTAAGTAAATGAGATTCACCAGAAATTCATTACCAATTACTTCAGATCTGACTGAAAAATGTTCTTCTATCCCCTTTTAAATTATAAGGGGGAAAAAAACTTTTCAATAGTTGTGTTGCCATTGATCCTGCAGGGCTAGCAGGATTTGTTTTTCAATTATCATTTCATTTGATCTAGATTCCCAGTCTCAGTCATAGTGTCATCTCACAAACAAGCTTCCGTGCAGAGTACAAGTCCACAGGAGGCCCTGCTGTCTTCCAGAAGCCGGTGAAGTTCCAGGTAGACATTACATACACAGAAGGTGGGGAGGCCCAGAAAGAGAATGGGATCTACTCCGTCACTTTTACACTTTTATCAGGTAACTGCCTCAAACCTGCTGTCTGGGTTCGTATGGAGGACGTAGATAAGTAGCAAGGTCTACTTCAAATATAGCTAGTTTCTTTAACACAGTATACAAAAATATTCAAATAGTGAATTGCTAAGTCTTAGAAATGTGTACAGTAATTGCTTCCATTTCCCAGTGTATGATTATCTTATGGAGACACGGAAATAAATAATGATCTGGGTAGCTTGCAAAGGTTCTTTTTAATATAAGATGTCAATCACTGCAGAAATTTTTCTGAAGTATTTCCCAAAAGAATCAAATTAGTAGACTTATTATGTAAAAAAACAAAAAAAACAAAGCTGGTGTTTTTCATTAAGTTCCAATGCTGGATACTTAAAATAAGAGGCATTAATTGAATGTCTTAGAACTCCATAAACAGCTCTGTGTATACTAGTATCCACAGAGCTGAACTTGACCAGTACTGGCACCCAATAAATATGGCTTTGTTGCCTTCCTAAAATTTCAGGAATTGGGTGGATTATCAAGCACTTTGCAGGCCTTATTGCACAGCTGAAGTAGGGTGGCATGGGATGTTCTTGGTAGACATAATCTCTGTTTTCTACTCACACTTTGAAACCATTTACTTAAAAAAATTATCCCATTACTTTTTTTCCTTCCCAGTTCAGACAATAATGACTTAATGGCTAATAAATTATATAGTTCTCATTAAAACATCGTTTGTTCTTTAAAGTACAGATTGGCATAGGTTGGTGAGAAAAATCTGCTCATGATCCCCAAAATGAACCAATATCCTCTTTGTGGAAGACAGATAAAAATGTGTAGGAACCTGATTAACCAACAAGATTAAGAAAGGAAAATGGAAACTCTAGTAAGGTTAAAAGGAGTATAACTTTATTAGATCTGTCATCAACTATTGCTATTAACTTTTATAGTATATTGATACTACCCAAGGTACCACATCTGGAGAACTGGTCATTTTTAGTAACTAGAGAGAGAGAAAGAGAGAGAGAGAGGGAGAGGGAGGGGGGGAGAGAGGAAGGAAGGAAGGAAGGAAGGAAGGAAGGAAGGAAGGAAGGAAGGAAGG